TGATTTACAGCATCCGCAGTTCTTTCGGTTTTTATTTAGTCTGAACTGAACAGGTTGTTTTGAAAATAATTCTCATTGTTGATTACAAGTGCTGCATGGATTATCTGGAGTCCATCTTTCCAACGTAACACTCGCCCATCAGCTATATGTGAGTGATACAGCAGCAAAAATACCGATTGTAGGAAATAGGAACAGGAGTAGGCCATTACCCATCGAGCTTGCTCTTCCACTCAATACAACCACAGCTGTGGCTTGAACTCCATTTTCTTGTTTGTCCTCCATTAGGTTTACTCTTCCTGATCTAAATATAGCCTAACTCAGCCTTTAATATAGTCAATGACAAAGCCTCCACAGCTACCCCTCAGAGACTAGAGATTCCTCCTCCTTCTCTCCATTTCAAATGGGACACCATTTATCTTTCAATGGCACCCCCTAGTTCCAGATTTTCTCACAAGAAGGAAGCATGGTCTTTGCATCCACCTTGTCAAGCTCCCTCCGACTCTTATATCGACCAACAAGATCACCTCTGGAATAACTCCACAGAGACCAGTATCCCATCACCAAACCACCCTTTATTTACATATGCATAGTACTTGACACTGGTCCAACCAGCACAGAGTGGGCTCCTAGAGTGAACAGAACCTCTGACTCTTCTGCTTATATCTGTCAGCCAGGGCTCCCTTATTAATTTTTAGAGTTTACACTTTAGTGTCACGATTACTCAAGTGTAGATGTACAGGAGTACAGTGAAAAGTGTATAATGTCTCCACACATGGCGCCATTTTAGGTACTATGGCACCTCAGTACAAAAAACACGAGTACAAAGTAGTGACAGAAATGAGTTAAAAGTGAAGCATTACTTCATACAATAGTAGAAAAATAAGGAAATTGGTAATAGTTTACATTTGGTGTCTTTCGTAGTTTAAGCTAGGAAAATAAAGGAATAAGTTAAAAGTTCAGCAGTCTTTGATGAGTCCTCCATTTATCTCACTCTGCCATCTGTTCGCAACATTGGACCAGACCTAATCAGGGAAGTCGTATTCCATGAGGTCCACCTGGTTGACCTCATTCCAATCACTACAACCTCCTTCTGTTAAACCTCTGAGTATGGGCTCAGCTTTTCCTCGTCAGGCACGTTCCTTCATGCTGAGAACACAACTGGTGAATTTTTTTCTGAATAACTTGCACTTCAAGTACATTCCTCGTCAGGTAAGGAAATGAAAAATATGGCCTTGAAGACAAGAATTACAAGTCACAGAGGAATACCCTGTAATTTTAACAAATTAAGGTGCTAAAATGCAGACTCTCCTTTCACACCTCCTTGAGGTGATGTTTTACTTTCTCTCTCTTTTCCCCACAGGAAATCTGCAACAGCCCTCACCTCTTTGTGGATGGGATGAGTGCCCACGACCTGAACCAGGGCCAGTTGGGTAACTGCTGGTTTGTTGCTGCTTGTTCCTGCTTAGCATCCAGAGACGCTTTGTGGCAGAAGGTAAGTGGTTCTTTAAATCTCCCCTGGCCTCCTTAATACAACAACAGTGATTGTGTAACAAGCTCAAAGCTTTGAACAGCTCACAACCCCCCCTCCCTTTCCTGAATTGCAGCATTCCTCTCGTGGGCTACCACCTCTGCACATGGCAAAATAAAGAAGTTGATAGTGAGGGAAACTGAGCTTAAGAGAACGGACTTGTTTTAAACGGTCTGAGGAAAGTCATGAGCAAGATTAATGCTTGCCTTCATTGCTCACACCTTTGCATACAGGAGTTGGGGCATCACGTTCAGGTTGTACAGGACATTGGTGAGGCCTTTTCTGGAATACTGTGTCCAGTTCTGGTCAGCCTGCTATAGGAAGGATATTATTAACTGGGGAGGGTTCAGAAGAGATTTACCAGGATGTTGCTGGGAATGGAGAGTTTGAGTTATAAAAATAGGCTGGATAGGCTGGGACTTTTTTCACTGGAGCGTAGGAGGTTGAGGGGTGACGTTATAAAGATTTATAAAATCATGAGGGTCATAGATAAGGTGAATGGTAGGTGTCTTTTCCCCAGGGTGAGGATATTTTTAAGGTGAGAAACGAAAGATTTAAAAAGGACATGGGGGCAAATTTTTTACACAGAGAGTGGTTCATATGTGGAATAAACTTCCAGAGGAAGTGGTAGATGTGGGCACAGTTACAACATTTAAAAGACATTTAGATAAGTAATGTTTGGAGAGATACAGGCCAAGCACAGGCAGGTGGAACTATTTTATCTTAGGATTATGGTCAGCATGGATTGGTTGGACCGAAGGGTCTGTCTCTCTGCTGTATGACTCTATGACTCTATAACTTTTAGATCAAGAAGGATAAGATGTCATACCATCCCCCCTTCCTAAAGGCCAGTAGTTAACTGAAGTGTTGAAGACTGAGATTGATAGGTTTTTTTGTTACCTAATAGTGTCATGGGTAGTAGCATCTGAATCATATTGCTAAGATACACTGGTGAAGCATTATTTAATTACGTATCTAGAGCACTTAAAAATCAAGACTGGCCCAATCTACTCAACCTGTCCTCATAGAACAGTCCCTCCAAACCTGGGATCAACCCTGGGAATCTTTTCTGGACGGAATCTTTTCTGGACTGCCTTCAATGCCGGCATATCTTTCTTTGGATAAGGGCTCACAAACTATTAACAGCATTCCTTATGTGGTCTGACTCGTGTCCTGTATAGTTTTGACATGACCTCCTTATTTAATATTTCATGCCCCTTGAAGGCCAACATTTGCCTTCCCTATTGCCTGCTAAACATGTATGCTAACGCATACAGTCATAGAGTTGTACAGCACAGAAACAGACCTTATTGTCTAACACGTCCATGCGGACCAAATATCCTAACTTAATCATGTCCCATTTGCCAGAATTTGGCCCACATCCTTCTAAACCTTTCTTATCATGGGCAGCACGGTGGCTCAGTGGTTAGCACTGCTACCTCACAGCACCAGGGACACGGGTTCAATTCCACTCTCAGGTGACTGTCTGTGTGGAGTTTGCACATTGTCCCTGTGTCTGCATGGGTTTCCTCTGAGTGCTCCAGTTTCCTCCCACAGTCCAAAGATGTGCAGGTTAGGTACATTGGCTGTGCTATAAACCCCATAGTGCCCAGGGATGTGCAGGTCAGAGGGTTAACTGTGGAAAGCAGGGTTACAGGGATGGGGGTGGGGAGTGGTGGGATGCTCTTCAGAGTGTTGATGTGGGCTCAATGGGCTGAATGGCCCGGTTCCACAGTGTAGGATTCTATGATTCTATTATGTACCAGATGCCTTTTAAGTGTTGTAATTGTGCCAGGCTCCACCATCCCCTCTGGCAGCTCATTCCACCCTGTGCATGAAAAAGTTTCCCCTTAAGTCTCTTTTATATTTTTCCCCTCTCTTGTGATTTATGCAACCGGACCCACAAACCCCTCTGTACTGTCGCTTTCCCCTTTGAAGCACCATTCATCTTTCTAGCCTTCATTGCTAAAGTGCAGAATCTCACAATTATCTACATTATATACCATCTGCCAAGTTTTTTACCCACTTGCTTAATCTGTCTATGCCCCTCTGCAGACCCTCTGTGTCATCCTCATCACTTGCCTTCCCACCTATTTCTGTGCCATCCACAAACTTGGCTAAACGCGCTCAGTTCCCTTGCACTGAAGGGTTTGGCTGTGTTGCTGGAGGGGTGGGGGGAGGTGGGGTGGTTGCCAATGTCTGCCAGAGGTCTCCACAGTGTAAATGGGCACCGGTGGCATGTGGCGAGAAGCGGGAACAGCAAGGATATGATGTCGTACAAATCGCTTGCATGGTTAGCAGACAAAGCTTTGGGAAGAGCTGATCTGCCAACCCCTTTTCATTGTCTCTCCTTGTGGGTAACAGGTCATCCCGAACTGGAAGGAACAGGAATGGGCAGTGGACAGACCCAACAACTATACTGGGATTTTCCACTTCCGCTTCTGGCGTTTTGGAGAATGGATTGATGTTGTGGTTGATGATCGCCTGCCTACAGTCAATGGTCAGCTGATCTACTGTCACTCCAATTCCAAGAATGAGTTCTGGAGCGCGCTGGTGGAGAAAGCTTACGCCAAGTGAGTAGACTGTGGACCAGAATTGCACTGCGTTACTGCGCCATTCAATCGTGTGGAGCTACAATCTTGCAGCACAGGCAGAGGCCATTCAGCCTATCATACCTCTCTGGAGGAGCTATCCAATTAGTCCCTACTCTCCCCCCGTCCCACCCTGACGTTCTTACTCTTTAACACTTAATTGTGCAATTCTCTTCTGAGAATTCCTATCGAATCTGCTTCCAAAGCCCTTTCAGGCAGTGTGTTTCATTTTTGTTTCAACAATCCTGCTGGTGTTTTTGGCAGGTTATGTTAAATCCTATGGTTAATGACTCTGCTGCCAAAAGAAACAGTTCCTTTTTATTCACGCCTCGTAATTGTACTCCTCTCTATTAACATTAGCTGAAGAAGCAGATCATTTGGCCCATCATGCCTGCTCCGCCTTTCCGTGAGTCATATCTAATCTGATTATCCTCAACTCCACTTTCCTGCCTTGTCTGCATAACCCTTAAGATTATCCCGAATGACCCAGCCTCGTCAGCTTTCTGCAGCAAAGAATTTCACAGATTCACGACCCTCTGAGGGAAGAAATTCCTCTTTAATTCTGTCTTAAATGTACAACCCCCTTGCTCTGAGATGATGGCCTCTAGCCCTAGACTCTCCCACAAGGGGAAGCAACCTTTCCACATCTACCCTCTCAAGTCCTCAAAGAATCTTACATGTTTTAAGAAGGTTCTCCTCATAGAGCCATTATCACACAGATGCTGCCAGACATCCCGGGTTTCTCCAGCATTCCTGGTGTTTGTTTCCGACTTCCAGTATCCACTGTATCATGCCATTAATCTCCTCTTAACCTCCTCTGCTTAGAGAGTACAAGGCCACAACTCCCTCCATGTCATTGAATGTGCTCATCCTTGGTCTCAGTTGAGGAGAATATTGGGGTTCTGGTGTGGCACCATCAAGCGCTGCAAGCAGAGTACAAAATATAGCAGATGGCGATGGCCTAGTGGTCTGTTAATCCAGAGACCCAGATCATGTTCTAGGGCCCTAGGTTCAAATCCTGCCATGGCAGATGGTGGAATTTGAATTCAATAAAAAAAAATCTGGAATTAAGAGTCTAATGATGACCATGAATCCATTATCGATTGTTGGGGAAAAAACCCATCTGGTTCACTAATTCCCTTGAGGAAAGGAAACTCATCCTTTTCTGGTCTGGCCTACATGGGACTCCAGACCTCCACTGTGGCTGACTCTTAACTGCTCCCTGGGCAATAAATGCTGGCCTGGCCAGTGATGCCCTCATCCCACGAATTAATAAACCAATTCTACACTGAAATCCTCCTCTCAACATTACAATTTTGGCATAGCGTAAGGGAAAGTTAGTGAAATACATACCCAAACCTCCCCTTAAGCCCTGAAAAAATACCTAATGGGGTAACTTTATTTTTCTAAGATTGAGTTTTAATAAGTGGTGACAAGCAGAAGTGAAGGACTGGTGCTAACAATAACAATTTCCATTTATAATACCTTCCAGCATAGAAATAGGTCCTCCGGTACTTCATGTGATGTTACAGAAGCAAGACTCAGAGGATGAAACAAAGTTGTGGCCCCAGAACTGAGTTTTGAAGAAGGCGCTAGATGAGGGAAGGATGGAGAGGCAAAGGGTTTTCCAGACTTGCTTGCTGAAGGCATGGGGTCCCCCTGTGATTGGGACAGAAGGATGTGAGAGAGGCCTGGGTGAGGGCTTCAGTAGCTGTAGAGCCGAAGCAGGGATGCAACAATCCTGTGGAGGCAGATGAGCAACTCAGTGACAAATAGCCCACTGAGGTTGGAAACAGACCGGATCAGTAAGCAGGAATCTTGCTGAGGAAGGAAGTATTGGTCGCCCTTGGTGTGCGGTGAGCCTGTGAAATTCTCTGCTACGGAAAATGTTTGAGACCAAAACATTCAATGGTTTCAAGAAGAAGCTAGACACAGTTCTTAAGACTGAAGGGATGAAACAGTATGGGGAAGAAAGTGGGAACAGGGGACTGAGTTGGATGATCAGCCGTGATCCTATTGAATGGTGGGGAAGGCACGAAGGGCTGAATGGCCTCCTCCTGCTCCTACTTTCTATGCTTCTACATTTCTAAATCACATAAAAGTAGGCAGCCCAAGTCAGAAAGTGATAATGTCATAGGGATCACTCTTCACATTCCCTTCAATTTTCTTAGGGCCCTCTGAGGCTCGTGCATTGTAAAAACCTCTGGAACTGGACGTCGTTGCCACAATCAATGTACTGGTTCATAATCACCGTGCGCACAACATCAGAGCAGTTACACACATACACAGCCTCGTAACTTAGAGGGAGCATTGAACACTGCCCAGAGAAATGAGATTGAATGGAATTCACAACAGTGGCGCCTATGACACAATGGTGACTCACAACAGTTGAGTTAAGTATCTGGAGACAGAGTAAATATTAAAGTATATTTGAACAGTTGCTGAAGTGAATAGGAACAATCTTTTTTTAAACAACATTATTTGTTCTTGGGAATGTGGGAATTGCTAGCAAAGCCAGCCTTTTTTGTTCAACTCTAACTGCCCCTGAACTGAAAGGCCTCCTTGGCCATTTCAGATGGTGGGTAAGAGTCAGCCACATTACGCTGCGTCTGGAGTCACATGTAGGCCAGGCTGGGTAAGGATGGCAGATTTCCTTCCCCAAAGGACATTAGTGAACCGGATGAATTTTTATGAGCATTAACAACCGTGTTATGGTCACAGTCATCGAGCCTTGTTTTATCTCTCCAATATATTAACTTAGTTTGAATTTTTCACCATGATGTGATTTGAAAGCATTTCCCCAAGAGCATTAGCCTCGGACTCTGGAATGGGTCGAGGCACCAAGGGGATGCAATTTCCAACTATGCCCAAACGGCTTTCTATTCTCATTTGTGAAAGTGGAGGCAATGGCCTAGTGGTATTATTGCTGGGCTATTAATCCAGAGACCAGATAATGTTCTGGGGACCTGGTTTCAAATCCCACCACCGCAGATGGTGGAATTTGAATTCAATGCAATAACTGGAATTATGAGTCTGATGACGACCATGAATCCATTGCCGATTGTCGGGAAAACCCATCTGGTTCACTAATGCCTTTTAGGGAAGGAAACTGCCATCCTTACCCGGTCTGGCCTATATGTGACTCCAGACCCACAGCAATGTGGTTGACTCTTAATTGTCCTCTGGGCAATTAAGGATGGGGCAATAAATGCTGCCTCACCAGCGACGCCCTCATCCCATAAATGAATAAAGAGGAAAAACAAAATCTGATTTCTGCACCATTGTTGGAGTATGGCCAGAGATGGAGTTTTGAGGCTGGGTGATGTGAAGGGACAGAGAGAGAGAGAGAAAAATGTGGTGTGGTGCTTAGGTGCCATCCATGATCCAAGGGACTGTGTAAGAAAAAGGTGCTTAGGTGAACAAGTACAAGGGAATTTGGGAACTGGGGATAAGAGTGACATCAGTGCTTAAATTTCAGAGCATTTACCCTCACTCTGCTTGCACCAGTTCTGAGAGCTCAGCTCTTTTTAACTGGTTAAATTGTAATGAAGCGCAGCCAAATGAATTGAATTGAATTGAATTAACTTTATTGTCACAGGTACTCACACGAGTGCAGTAAAAAGTTTACAAGTCGCCACTTACTTGTAAAGGTACCTAGGTACAGGATCTTGAGCCCAAATTCATAGGAAAAAAAATTAGAAAAATAAAGAAATAAAATGTTCAAAGTAACAGTACTTCCGCCATGATATAGTAAAGAAAAAGAAATTTACAAGAAGACAACTTAAGAAAATGTCCACTTAAACCTTTTTCAGATCCCGAGAGACTCTGGTTGTTTTACCTATTGCAAGATTGCAAAAAGTTATAGGATGACTTGAGAGACGAGGGATGTGGAAAGAAAGTGCAGTGAGAAACTGCAGGTGCTGCAGATCTGAAATACAGATAAAGTGCTGGAGAAACTCAGCAGGCCTGGCCGTATCTGTGGAGAGAGAAAGCAGAGCTCACGTTTCAAGCCCAGCACAACTCTCCTTCAGAAAAAAAGCGACTGCGATATTATCATGTTCAGCTGTTCTTATTGACCTTATTTCATGCAAAATTTGGAATGATTCTGCAATAACTGTCTTTAATAAAATAGGGATTGTATAAACATGGCAGCTCAGCACCCACCATATTGAGGAAAGTTAGGGATGGGCAATAAATTCTGACCCAACACACATCCTGTGAGGGAATGATACAAAAGTAATTGTTTGTTTCAAGCTAAACAAAAATTAGGCATTCGAGTACAATACAGAGTAATATTTTTGGCTGATAATGGCACCAGTTATAAAACAACCTTGTAACAATGGATACGGTAATTGATTTAATTAAATTTCCAATTACAAGCATTACACGGGGATTTAAAGGGATGGACAGGATACAGAAGGGATCAACAGAACAACTGTGAGACCAAAATAGAAATTAGCTTGTGGAGGCAACAAGGCACATCGAGGAATATCTTACCTGATCTGGTGTCCATGTGACTGTAGACCCACAGCAATAGAGTTGATTCTTAAATGTCCTGTGCAACGACCCAAGCAAGCCTCTCAGTTCAAGGGCAAGTAGGGATGAGCAACAAAAGCTGGCCGAAACATTCACGTTCTGAGTCTGGCATGACTGCTCTTCAGAAATCCGAAGCTTTAACTCTGTTTCTCTCTGCACAGACCTGCTGAGTTTCTCCAGCACTTTCTGTATTTTTTGTTTCAGGTTTCCGTAGTATTTTGTTTTCATTCTTTAGAGTCTGACCTTTGTCCTGTCTCATCTGCTTGTTTCACTCGTGTCTTCAATGTCTCTAGACTCGACTATTCTAAAACACTCCTGGCTGATCTCACACCCTCCATAAAACTCGAAGTCGTTCAAAGTTCTGTGTCACAATCCCTTAGTCACAACAAGCCCCGATCACTAACTATTCTACATTGACGCTTGATCCGGAATTGTCTCTGTTTTAAAAATTCCCGTCCCTGTTCTCAAATCCCTATGTGGACCTCTCCACCTTTGAAACCCCTTCCAGCTCCACATTCCTGCGGGAGAATCTGTGCTGTTCCAATTCTGAACAGTCAACCACGCACCATTTTAATTGCTGCACCTCTGCACCACTCCTTAGGCTCCTGGAACTTCAACTCTGGGAGTCCCTCGCTACTTCCTCCTCCTCCTCCCTACCACTCCTGTTCATAAAGTCATTCCCCTAAAAATTTACCCTTTAAGGCTGAGTATTCTGTTCACGAATTCAGTAAAGAAATAAAATGTCCAAAGCAACAGTGCTCCACCATGATATAATAAAGAAAAAGAAGTTTAAAGAAAAGAGAATTTAAGACAAAGTCCATTCTGCTACCCCATTCAGTAACATCATGATTTTAACCTCAACTGTGCATTCCTATATATCCCCAGACAGTCTGTTCAGCCCCTTGGTCATCAAGAATCTATCTCTGCCTTAAAAATATTTTAAAGGTTCTGTATTTCCTTGTGTTTTGATTGTCTGGTAATATTCTGGTGAATCTTGCCGTGTTAAAGACACGATATGAATGCATGTTACTGCTGCAGAAACCATCTCACTGCTTCCCTTTCAGGCTAGCGGGCTGCTATGAATCTTTGGATGGTGGGAACACTGCAGATGCCTTGGTGGATTTTACTGGTGGGGTCTCGGAACCGATCGACCTGGTTCAGGGGAACTTCAGCACCCTGGAGGATCAGAGGCTGCAACTGTTTGAGAAGCTCCTGAAGGTGTTCAGCCGTGAGGGCCTCATCAGCTGCTCGATCAGGGTAACCTTCACCTCACCACTCGGTGCCGTTGACCAAGGAGCTAATAATAATAACAGGAAGTTGCACTTGATGAAGGCAGAGAAATTTCTTCATCCAGAGAGTCTCGAATTCGCTGCCACTGAAAGCGGACGAGGGCAAAATACTGAATGTTTTCCAGGAGGAGTTAGATATAATTCTTGGAACCAAAGGGATTGAAGAGTATAGGGAGAAAGTGGGGACAGGAGACTGAGTTGGATGATCAGCCATCATCATACTGAATGATAGAGCAGGCCTGAAGGGCCGAATGGCCTCCTCCTGCTCCTATTTTCTATGCTAGTCACAACCAGGACTCAGTGGGTGGCATGTTGCCTTTGCTGGCTAGACCAGCATTCCTTGCTCATCCCTGATGGTTCAGAGGGCAGTTAAGAGTCAACTCCATTTTTATGGGTCAGTAGTCACATGTAGGCCAGACTACGTAAGGACAGCAGCTTTCCCTCCCTTTCAAGGGCTTGAGTGAACGAGATGAGCTTTTCCGACAATTGATGGTGTTTATATGATCAACACTAGGCTCGCTGTTCATTGAAGACTTTTTTTTATTGAGTTTGGATTTCACCTTCTGCCCTGGTGGGGTTTGAACCCATGACGCTGGGACATTAGCCTGTCATTAATGTTGTGAACTCAGCTACACCAGTACAAGATCCCCGCAGGCCTCCAGTGCAGCTGTGTCAGGAGTGCTGTCTTTCAGTTGACTTGCTAAACTGGGAAAGGCTTGTATAAAGCTTTTTACTGCCTCCGGAAGGCTTTATAACCAGTGAAAGCAAAGACAGTCAGCTCTTCCAGCTCCACACTCTGACCTATCAGAGCAGAGCGGGTCACAGTCTCAGAATAAGGTATCATTGTGGGTATCTCTACTCACAATGGTTGTAGATGCTCAGTCATTGATTACATTCAATTTTGATGTCAATGTTTGTTAGCTCTGAGGAAAATAAGGGATATTTGGAGGTGGAGATAGAGGATCTTGCTGAATGTTACAGTAGATTTGAGGGGCCGAAAGGCCATCTCTATAATTCTCCATGGTAGACCGACAGAGGGCTGGAAGAACACAGCAAGCCCGGCAGCATTTGGAGGAGAGGAGCAGTCAATGTTTTGGGTATTGCCCTGCTTCGGAATACCTTAAACGTTGACTGCTCCTTTCCTCCAGATGCTGCCTGGCCTGCTGTGTTCTTCCAGCCTCCCCTTAGTCTATCTATAATTCTCCAGCTGGAGGACACAAGACTAGACACCCAGTTGGAGCCGGTCTTCATGTCTGAGCGGGGAGTCTGTGGGTTATTTGAGCAAAGTCAGTTGCTGACCACTGACTAGCAAACCCAAGGCTGAGCCCACAGATGGGGGTCAGAAGTGGCTCCCCCGCTGACCCTTCCTCCCCGAACCATCTCACCCATTTGGCCATTTGAATCTTCCCCAGACAGCTCAGCTCAGTCCGAGCCTGACCCATTCCCCTGGGGCTGTGGTCCCATGACCTCCGGGCTATATTGAGCTAATCCTGGGCTTGTTTTGCTCGCTGCAGGTAACATCAGCTGCGGAGATGGAAACTCGCCTGAGCACCGGCCTGGTGAAAGGCCATGCGTACGCTGTGACTGATGCTCGAAAGGTGCGGCTGGGCCATGGTCTCTTGGCTTACTTCAAGGCAGAAAAGCTCTTCATGATCAGGATGAGGAATCCGTGGGGTCAAAAGGAATGGAACGGGCCCTGGAGTGACAGGTGAGACCCCGTCCCACCACCCCCTTCCATAGCTTGTTAGAGGGGAGTCTTCATGCCGGGAGGTCTGCCATACAGCACTCAGCTTCACCGTGTTGGCTTTGGGTGAGGTGGCTCTTGGCGCAATGAAGAGAGATGTCTTCAACCAGAGAGTCGAGAGCCTGTGGAATTCTCTGCCACAGAAAGCAACTGAAGCAAAAACACTGTGAATGTTTTCAGAATGCAGTTCTTTGGGCTAAAGGAATCAAAGGGAGAAAGTGTAAACAGGGTCCGGAATTGGATGATCTGCCATGATCATGTTGAACGGCCTACACCTGCTCATCTTTCCTATTCCTCTTTGTTTCTATGTCCCACCATGTCTCCAAGACCCACCTAGTCTTATAGGGAGTTGACGGCCTAGTGGTATTGAACAAATGAAAAAATACAGCACAAGAACAGGCCCTTCGGCTCTCCAAGCCTGTGCTGACCATCATGTCCTAATTAATCTAAAAACAAACCTACCATTTTTCGATCTGTATCCCTCTATTCCTTCCCTATTCATGTACCCATCCAAGTGCCTCTTAAATGTCTTCAATGTGCCCGCTTCCACCACCTCTTCTGGTCGTGCATTCCAGGCTGCTACCAATCTCTGCATGAAAAACTTTCCTCACACATCTCCCTTAAAATATCCCCCCTCACCTTGAACCTGTTCCCCCTTGTAACTGAAACTTCAATCCTGGGAAAAAACCTCTGACTATCCACCCTATCTATGCCTCTCATTATTTTGTAGACCTCTATCAGGTCTCATCTCAGCTGCTGTCTTTCCAGTGAAAACAATCCTAGTCTTTTTAACCTTTCATCATAGTCAATGCCTTGGAGACCAGGCAACATCCTGGTGAACCTTCTCTGCACTCTCTCCAAAGCTTCCACATCCTTCTGGTAACATGGCAATCAAAACTGCACACTATACTCCAAATGCGGCCTAACAAGGGTTTTATATCGCTGCAACAGGGTTTGCCAACTCTTGTTGGGAGGATGATGTAACAAGATCATGGCTGGAGTGCACTTGAGGGGCCGAGTGGCCTGCTCCTAACTGGTATGGCTGTATAGAAGGAGACCAGTTGGCCCTCACTGCACCATTCAGTTAGACCATGCTGGTCATCCAGCTAAATATCAGAATGTGAAATTCACTACCATGGAGAAAATAGAATGGATCTGGTTAAGGGAAATCTAGCTAAGCACATGAGAGAGAAGGGAAGAGATGGATATGTTGAAGGTGTCAGGCTTGATTAGGGCTTAAACAGTGGCATAACCATTTAGGCCAATTGTCCTTCAGTGCTCTTAACTGGCAAACAAAACTTAAGATTCCTGAGTCTGAGTGAAAACATTCTGCTTGACTTTCCTCTTTAGCTTTATTTTTAACTTTTTTTTATTGACCAGAAATGGTCAACACTTCCAAAGTGAACCACCTTCGTTCGCTACACATTGCCTGATTGTTTGCCCTGTTTCAGTACAGTGTTATGGGACTTGTTCCACACTGTGTCTATTGAGACTGGAATAACTGTTTGTTTTAACAGCTCTCAGGAGTGGCAGAAGGTCAGCAAAGGAGAGCGTGAGACTATGGGTGTCACCGTGCGGGATGATGGGGAGTTCTGGTAAGTCTTCCAGAGAGTCTTTTCTCTTTGATGATGGATCAGATATTTCAGAAGGTCCAGCTTTTAGGAATCTGGATTGTCCCAGAGTTAATCAATGCTGGCTTCTGAGTTCCTGCAGTCAAGGACTCCCAGCCTCATCAACCTTGAGTATACACCTTAAATGGAGAAGAATATAGGAAAACATTGAAGAGACAGAAGGTTTTGCACTTGCTGGGAGGGCTAATGAATACAAGAATGGACCCATGACCCTCCCTTATCAGGGTAGATGCAGGAAGGATGTCCCTGATGCTCGGGAGCCCAGAACCAGAGGTCATAGTCTATGCATACGGGCTAAGCCATTTAGGACTGAGATGGGTAGAAATGTCTTCACCCAGAGAGTGGGGAGCCTGTGGAATTCTCTGCCACAGAAAGTAGTTGAGGCCAAAATACTGAATTGGACATAGTTCTTAGGGCTAAAAGTTTAAGAAGGCAGCTCACTGCCACTTTCTGCAGCGCAATCAGGATGGACAGTAAATGTTGACGAGCCACCGATATCCATGTCCTGGGAGCCGAAATAAAGAAAAAGAAAGGGTTTTGTTAGGTGTCATTTTGTTGGGAATAACATGCACCAAAAATGTTAATAAAGATTATGCCTTAGTGCAGCCCCAGGACAACCAAAAGTTCTGTTCATCCAATGAAGTATAGCCATTGCAAGAAACTGTACACAGCAAGCTCCCATAGACAGCAATGGCCAGTTCTTTTTTAGTGATGTTGGTGGAAGCGTCAGTGATAACTAGGGCTCTGTGGATAGACTCCCCTAACTTGTGTTAAGTAAAGAGTCGTGTATATTCACCTGCAGTGCTGCCTGACCTATCACCGTCCCACCTACCTTCCTTAGCCCCACCCCCCTCTCTCTCTATTTACTTCAGCGCTCCCTCCCCCCTCCCCCATTTCTGAAGAAGGGTCCCAACCGGAAACGTCAGCTTTCTTGCTCCTCTGATGCTGCCTGGCCTGCTGTGTTCCCCCAGCTCTACACCTTATTATCTCAGACTCCAGCATCGGCGGTTCTTACTATCTCTGCCTGAGCACAGTGCTTGTTTGGGTTCCAGGATGTCGTTTGATGATTTCTGTGCGAACTTCACAGACCTCGTTGTCTGCCGTATCATCAACACCTCCTTCTTCAGCTTCCACAAGACCTGGGAGGAAGCCATGATAAAGGGCTTGTGGACCAGGCACGAGGATCCTCTGAAAAATCGTGCTGGAGGCTGCATCAATAACCGGGACACCTTTCTGCAGAACCCACAAGTAAGGACTACATGTTGTTGAGCTCTTCGATATTTCAGGTATCTTTTTGATGTGGACGAAGCTCCGAGGGTTGAGAACAGGAGGTGGGAAGGTGAGGCGAATCAGTGTGAGGTGGAACAAGAGGCAATGTGATGACACTAACTTTACTGGAGACAATATAACCTATTGACTTGCTGTTCACTGTTTCAAAGGATCTAAGCTCACCTTGAAGGCTTTAATAAGACTTTATGTTCAGCTTGCCTGAGTGGGGTATTGGAAATGACACTGCACTCTTAATCTAGAGGCCAAAGCTGATGTTCAGACGGCTGATGCTCAAATCCCACCACAGCGGAGGGAGATGATGGCCTAGTAGTATTATCGCTGGACTGTTAATCCAGAGACTCATATAATTCTCTGGGGACCCAGCTTTGAATCCTGCCATGACATATGGTGGAAAGTGAATTCAATAAAAATTTGAAATTAAGAGTCTAATGACCATTGTCAGTTGTCAGGGGAAAACCCATCTGGTTCACTAATGTCCTTTAGGGAAGGAAACTGCTATCCTTACCTGGTCTGGCCTACATGTGACTCCAGATCCACAGCAATGTGGTTGACTGTTAACTGTCCTCTGGGCAATTAGGGAGGGGACAATAAATACTGTCCTAGCCAATGATGCCCTCATCCCATGAATGAATAAAAAAAAAACGTGGCTAGTGGAGTTTAAATTCATATCAATAAGTCAATAAAATAGTAGTTAGTCTCAATGATTGTGACCTGAACTCATCGTCGTTGGAACACCCCATCTGGTTCATTAAGGAAATCTGCTGTCATTACCAGTCTGGCCTGTATGTGATCATCAGATCCACAACAACTTTTTTATTCATTCGTGGTCCACCAACCAGGCCAGCATTTTTGGCCGATCCCCAATTGCCCAGAGGGCAGTTAAGAGTCAACCACATTGCTGTATTTTTGGAGTCTCAGTCGTTGACTGCTGTCTGAAATGACAATGCAAAATTCCAAGGTGACTACAAATAGTAATTTATGAACATTGGGAAATAGCTGACATTAATACATAAATGATTTAGATGAGAATATAAAGAAGGCATGGTTAGTAAGTTTGTGGATCATACCCAAATTGGTGGTATTGTTGGCAATGAAGAAGGTTATCTAAGATTACAAAGGGATATTGATCAATTGGTTCAATGGGCTGAAGAGTGGCAGGTGGAGTTCAACTTAGATAAATGTGAGGTGTTGCATTTTGGTAAAACAAACGAGGGCAGGACTTATACAATTAAAAGTAAGGACTTGGGTAGTGTTGTAGAACAGAAAGAGGTTCAGATACATAATTCTTTGAAATTTATGTTACAGGTAGACAGGGTGGTTAAGAAGGCATTTAGAGTGCTTGCCTTCATTGCTCAGACCTTAGAGTATAGAAATTGGGACATCACATTGAGGTTGTACGGGACATTGGTGAGGCCTCTTCTGGAGCACTACATGCAGTTCTGGTCGCCCTGTTATAGAAAAGATATTATTAAACTGGAGAGGGTTCAGAAAAGACTTACCACTGTGTTGCCTTGATTGGAGGGCTTCAGTTATAAGGAGAGGCTGGATAGGATCGGACTTTTTTCACTGGAGCATAGGAGGTGGAGGGATGACCTTATAGAGGCTTCTAAAATCATGAGGGTTATAGATGAGGTGAATGGCAAAGGTCTTTTCCCTAGGATGGGAGATTTCACGACTAGGGGGCATATTTTTAAGGTGAGAGGAGGAAGATTTAAAAGAGGGGCAACTTTTTAACAGAAGGAGTGGTTAATATGTGGAATGAGCTTCCAGAGGAAGTGGTTAATGCAGATACAGTTACAACATTTAATAGACATTTGGATAAGTAGAAGAATAGGAAAGGTTTGGAGGGATATAGGCCAAATGCAGGCAAGCGGGACTAGTTTAGTTTGGGAACATGGTTGGCATGGACTAGTTGGACCAAAGGGTCGTTTCCTTGCTAGATCAGTTTTTAGTAAGTCAGGCCATGAAGTTGTTTGATTGTCATTAAGAATCCATTTGGCTATTTAGGGAAGGGCATGTGCCCATTCAGCCTGTACTGCAAACCCACATCAGGTATCCTCACAGCTTCACTCTTCACTACCGTCTAATGTGGCCTAGAAAGCCTTAATCTGGACTGATGGGACTGACTGAAGGGGATGTATGGCCCATTCCTGTTCCTGTGTAATGTCACTCACTTGGCTGGAAGCCATCTGACCATACTGTCTGTAGCAGTTCAAGGCAGTGGTGAATCACCATCTTGAGGACATCTACAGATAGGCACCTGAGGACTGGCATTATGGACATAGAATCCATCGGATCTGCTGAGATAGAAATTAAGAAACAGACCATTCCTTTGTGGAGAGAGTTTACTGGCTTGCTCAGTTTCATTGCTCTCACCCCACATCTGAGTATCATAGCTCGCTGTCTGGATGTGCTCAAAGATGATTAATATTAGAACATAGAACATAGAACATAGAACATAGAACATTACAGCGCAGTACAGGCCCTTCGGCCCTCGATGTTGCGCCGACCTGTGAAACCAATCTGAAGCCCATCTAACCTAAACTATTCCATTATCATCCATATGTTTATCCAATGACCATTTAAATGCCCTTAAAGTGGGCGAGTCTACTATTTTTGCACGCAGGGCATTCCACACCCTTACTACTCTCTGAGTAAAGAACCTACCTCTGACTGATATTCACCATCCATTTCCTTTAAACCTTAACAATGACATTAACATAGAATCCCTACAGTGTGGAAACAAGCCATTCAGCCCAACAAGTCCATACTGACCCTCCGAACATATCCCACCCAGACCCATCCCCCTACCCTATCCCTTTAACCCCGCAATGCCTATGGCTAACCCACCTAGTCCGCACATCCCTGGACATTATGGACAATGTAGCATGGCCAATCCACCTTAACCTGCACATCTTTGGATTGTGGGAGGAAACTCATGTAGACACAGGGAGAACATGCAAACTCCACACAGACAGTCATCATCCAAGGGTGGTCCCTGGCACTGTAAGGCAGCAGTGCTAACCACTGAACCACCATGCTGCCCATGATGATGGGCAGCCATTATTATAATAGGTAGTTACCGTACACTATGTGCAACTTGTGAATGAGTATGAGCTGTAAGGGTTTCTTACCTCTAATAGTGTGACTCTAACTGATTGTGGAGTGTTGGTTACCCCTCGCTTTGTGCTTTAGAATGTTCTCTCTGGTTTCCCTCCACAGTATGTGTTCGATGTCAAAAAGGAAACGGACGAAGTGTTAATTTGCCTTCAACAGAAAGACATTCGTTACACTCGAAAGCAGGGCAGAGGGGAGAAGATCTCGATGGGGTTTGAGGTCTACAAGGTAAGAACATTTAAAGAAGTTCTGAGGAAGGGTCACCGGACCCGAAACGTTAACTCTGAGTTTTTCGTCACAGGTGCTGCCAGACCTGCTGAGCTTTTTCAGCAACTTCTGTTTTTGTTTTGTGTAAATAAGCAGCCAGTCTCTCTCGGTAGAGAGGAAATTCAATGTTGAAACGTCTCCATCGATCTTTTCTAAGTGGTGTCAAGTTGCCATGTGGCATTATTCCTAATGGAGATACCAGCACCCGGTAAAATGCCAGCTGGGGAGGCCGAACAGGCACTTCTGTAATGGCACCAGTCAAATGTTAACACTAGACCAGCAATCCAGAGGTTGGACCAAAGATCTGAGGGTCAGGAGCTCAAATCCCCGCCAAGATAGAGAATAGAAGACCATAAAATGTAGGAGGAGAGGTAGGCCATTCAGCCCATTGGCTCTGCTCCACCATTCAATCAGTTTGTGGCAGATTTAAGTTAAATTAAGACATATCTGGAAATGAAAGCTATTCTTAATTATGGTAGTCACAAAACTATAATCAATTGTTGTAAAAACCCATCTGGTTCACTCATGTCTCTTAGGGAAAGAAATCTGTCATCTGTAGTGATTGTAATGAGGTCAGCCAGGTGGACCTCATAGAATATGAGTTCCCTGATTGGGGCTGTTAACCTGGTCCAATTAGAGAGCCCTGGCTGACAGACATAAACAGGAGTGTCAGGGGTTCTGTTCACTCTGACAGCTGGCTCTGAAGGAGCTGGATCAGTGTCAAGGACTCTCCCCGTATAAATAAAGGGGGTCTTGGTGACGGGATACCAGGCTCTGTGGAGTTAGTTCAGTGGTGATGAGAGAAAAAACACACTCCTGAAGAAATTCGCTCGCAAGAGTCATCTTTGAATTGGGGTAAGCATTTCTGGCATTTCTAGACTTCCACGTGGGACCTTGTCAAAGGCCTTACTGAAGTCCATCAGCACATCAACTTCAAAAAATTCAATTAAATTAGTCAGGATCTCCCTCTAACAATTCTGCGCTGATTATCCCTGATAAATCCTTGGCTTTCCAAGTGTTGTTGAATCCTGACCTTCAGATTTTTTCCAATAGCTTCCCTCCCACTGATGTCAGTCGAACTGGTCTGTAATTCCCTGGCCAATCCCTGCTGCCTTTCTTGAACAAAGGAACCACATTAGCCATCCTCCAGCGATCTGGCACTTTGCCTGTGGCCAGTAAAGAATTAAATATTTTCACTAGGTCCCCAGCAATCTCCTCCCTTGTCTCCGCATCTTACAAGGCCCTGGGATTTAATGCTTGTTTATGCTCACTAAAACATCTAATACCTCCTCCTTATTAATCTAAACATGCTCTAGAACCTTACCATCCCAACTGAAATCCTTGGCTACAATGTCTTTCCTCTGCGAATGCAGTTGAGAAATATTCATTTAAGTCCTCACCCACATCAATTGTCTCCATGTACAAATTGTCCCTTTGGTCTTTAATAGTTCCCGCTCTTTCCCTGGTAATCCTCTCACTCTTGATATACTTATGAAAAGCCTTGGAGCTCTCCTTGATCTCATCTGTGAAGGATACTTTGTGACCCTCTTTGCCTTTCTAATTTCCTTTCCAGGCAGCCTCCTGCACACTCTATACTTTCGAAGGGCCACCCCTGTTTTTAATGCACCATGCCTGACGTATGCTTCCATCTTTATCTTCATCAAACTCTCAATATCCCTTGACATCCAGGGTTCCCTGGACTTGCAGCTCTTGCGCTTCGCTGTTAGAGGAACACTCTGGCCCTGAATTGTTACTTTACTACTTATAAAAGACTCCCACTTTCCAAATGTAGGCTTACATGCTGCCAGTTTGCCAGATCCTGTGAAATAATATTGAAATTGAGCTTCTTCCTATTTAGACACTTAACTTCTGCGCTGTCTTTATCCCTTTCCATAATGACTTTGAAACTTATGGAGTTATGGTCACAATTCCCAAAATGCTCGCTCACTGAAACCACTGGAGAGGCTTCATTCCCTAGGATTAGGACCAGCACTGGCCCATCTTTAGGAGGACTATCTATGGAATGGCACAAAAAGCCCTCCTGAATGCACTTTAAATACTCCACCCTTAACTCTTTCACACTAAGGTAATCCCAGTTAACGTTAACAAAGCTTTAGTCCCCTACAACTATAACCCTGTTGCTCTCACACCATTTTTGTGACTTGCTTACATGGCAGCACAGTGGCACAGTGGTTAGTGAATCATAGGATCATAGAATCCCTACAGTGTGGAAACAGGCCCTTCGGCCCAACAAGTCCACACCGAACCTCAGAGCATCCCACCCAGACCCATCCCCCTATAACCCACCTAATCTACACTTCCCTGGACACTATGGGCAATTTAGCATGGCCAATCCCCCCTAACCTGCACATCTTTGGACTGTGGGAGGAAACCGGAGCACCCGGAGGAAACCCACGCAGACGCAGGGAGAATGTGCAAACTTCACACAGACAGTCGCCCGAGGCTGGAATCAAACCCGGGTCCCTGGCGCTGTGAGGCAGCAGTGTTAACCACTGTGCCACCATGCCGCCCCAAAATATAAAAAGTGCACTGTTCCCAATGAAGTCATGCTACCCCATGCATTAAAAAGAAATGCAAAACACAAAGGCTGGCAGCCTGCTAGTCAATACTGAAGTCTGAAAATGTGCACATAAATGAATGTGAAGTAGCCAAGTATAGGAGGCTCCCTTCCAAGTTAGTGGAGGTGATGACCTAGTGGTGTTATCACCTGACTATCAATCCAGAAAGTCAGCTAATGTCCCGGGGTCCGGGGTTCAAACTCCGCCAGGGCAGACGGTGGAATCTGATTTCAACAAAAAAAATCTATTGATGACAATGAAAACATTGTCGACCATCGGAAAACCCCATCTGGCCGACAAATGTCCCTCAGGAAAGGAAATCGGCCATCCTCACCTGGTCTGGCCCACACGTGACACCAGACCCACAGCCATGTGGCCGACCCACAACTGTCCTCTGAAATAGACCACTCGGTTATACCAGTCCCTACTAGAGACAGGCAATAAATGCTGGTTAATTGATGTCTGACTTGGTTCCAGAGCACCGATGATGATGTGGTGAGGTTGGCTGATGCCAATTTGCAAAGTCGGATGTTTGAAGTGAAATATGTCCTTGAAGCAAAGAGATACATTGTGCTGAAGAAACAGTTAAATGATAGTCAGGACAAGCCATCGGCGAGTTTCAGCTGGTCTAACGTACATATCTGGAATGCTGTTGTTTCGTAGTGCTGGGGACCTGGGTTCGATCCCACTTTCGGACGACTGTCTGTGTGGAATTTGCATGTTCTCCCCGTGCCTGCGTGGGTTTCCTCCGGGTGCTCCGGTTTCCTCCCAGAATCCAGAGGTGTGCAGGTTAGGGTGGATTGACCACAGGAAATAACCCATAGTGTCCAGGGATGTGTAGGTTAGGGTGGATTGGCCGTGCTAAATTGCCCATAGTGTCCAGGGATATGTAGATTAAGTGGGTCACAGGGAAAGGGTAGGGGGATGGGTCTGAACGGGATGCTCTGAGGGCCGGTACTTGCTGGGCTGAAGGGCCTGTTTCCACAATGTAGGGATTCTATAATATCTGCTCCTCTACTTCCCTCTGAATGTTGGGAGGCCTGAAAAGTAATTGCTCGCTTTTTTATTTCTAAGCTGTACCCAGAGGGCCTCCTTTGATGACTGTTCTAGGATGTCCTCCCTGATTTCAGCAATGATGATTTCCTCATCAACAGTGCAACGTCCCCATCTTTCTTACTTCCCAACCACTATAACGCCTGAAACTTCTATACCCTGGAATGTTGAGTTGCCAGTCCTGCCAGCCCTTTGACCATGTCTCAGTAATTGTAACAATATCATATTCCCATGTGCTGATTAATGTTCTAAGTTCATCTGCCTTCCCAGTCAAGCTCCTAAAATAGATTCAGTTTAGATTCCCAGACTATCCATGTGCCTTATCCTATCCACGCCTACTGGACTGCCCCAGAATTCCTTCTATACCTGATTGGGCCTTGTTCCTGATTTTACTTCCCATTCCCCCTTCCAAATTAGTTTCAACCCTCCCAACAATGTGAACATTGGTTATTGATTAAGGGAGGGTATTGGCCCCAGGACACTGGAGATGATCAAAATGGAGACCAATGAGGATAGCTTCTGAAAGACAGTCTACACTCCCTTGGTACTGCAGTAGGTGCATCAGCCAAGATTCTTGCCCTCAGGACCTTGGGGTCACAGGACATGAGCTGGTGACGATGCTATCTCCTGCTCCCGGTCTGTTAATCCCACCACTCTGTTAACTTTTGAAGTGATTTCGCTTTGGTAGGTGGAGCTGAACCGTAATTACAGGATGCACACCATTCAGCAGAGAGTGGCCAGCTCTGTCTACATCAACTCCAAGACCATCTTCTTGCGGGAGCAGCTCCCTCAGGGACGCTACGTCATCATCCCGACCACCTTTGAGCCGGGCGTACAGGGCGAGTTCTTACTGAGGATCTTCACTGACATGCCGTCAAACTTCAGGTAAGACCTGGAGTGGGAACGAGCAGCTGTAAAGGGCAGAGCGAGAGGCAATGGAGGAGATGAGGGTTAGAATGCAGCTTTTTTTGGGGAGCAGAAGCCTCCGTCCTCTCCTCTGGCTCCCTGCATGTTGCACTCCCACGTTCCCTCTGTCCCTCCGTTCATGCTCAAAGGGCCTGCACTCTGCTGCGTTCTCCCTTCCCTCCTCAGCCTTTCTCCTCTGCTCCTTTCTCCCATCAACTCCCCCACTGAGTTTGTTCACCAGGCTTATCGAAGTACTGCAGAAAGTGCGGAAAACGTGGATTCTCTAGAGTTCAGAAGAACAAGGTGGGAGATCCTATCGAAGCATATAAAATCCTAAAAGGATTAGCCAGGGTAAACACAGGAAGGATGTTCCCAATGACCTGGGAGCCCAGTACCAAGGTCACAGCCTAAAGATACAGGGTGGGCCAATTAGGACTGAGATGAGGAGAAATGTCTTCACCCAGAGAGTAGTGAGCCTCTGGAATTCTCTGCCACAGAAAGTGGTTGAAGCCAAAACATTGAATGTTTTCAAGAAGGAGTTGTTGTAGGTTTTTAATTCCGAGGGCTAAAGAGTGCAAAGGATATGGGGGTGAAAGCAGGAACAGGGGACTGAGTCGGATGATCAGCTGTGATCATATTGAATGGCAGAGCAGACTCGAAGGGCCGAATGTCCTCCTTCTGCTCCTAGTTTCTATATTTCTATGATAAGGATTTTGTCAGAATTGAGGAGATATAAAGATTCCACAGCCTGAGGGTCTTGACTCTGCATCAGAAATGATTAAGGGTGTGTGAGATAAATTCTTTAAGAAAGCGGAAGGCTTTGCTGGAACACTTCTGGAATACTGTGTGGCATTTTGGTCTAATTATTTAAGGAAGAGTACACTCTCTGTTGGCATCTCACCACCATCTTCTTAAGGGCAACTAGGGGATGGGCAATAAATCCTTGCCCGACCAATGATGCCCATGTCCCATGGGCGAATTACAAAGAAAACACAGGATGAAGAAGGCGCAGTGAAGGTTCATCAGATTGGTTCCTGGGAAAGGAAATGGGTTGTCTTGTGATGAGAAGCTGAGTAAATTAGGACAGTATGTTTAAAAGAATGAGAGGAGATCTCTTTAAAAGATTTTAAGATTGTAAAAGGGTTGGACAGACTATAGCCTGAGAGAGAGAGTTGTTTCTACTGTTTGGGGAATCTGAAAAGCAGGGACACAGTCTCGGGATAAGGGGCCGAACATCTAGGGCAGAGATGACTTCACTCAAAAGTGGGGAATCTTTGGAATTCCCTACCCCAGAGGGCTATGGAATCTCCATAATTGAATATGTTTCAGGTTGCGATGGATTGAGTTGTAGGCTCTCGGAGAATCAAGTCAGGGCGAGTGGTCAGGAAAGTGGAGCCAATGGCTAAGACCAGCCACAGCCATTCTGGATGCTGTAGCAGGCTCGATGGGCTGAATGGCCCATGTTTCTTGCATTCTTGTTCGCGGATCAGTGAAGACAATTCATTCAACAATTGAAATGAGTTTAAACAGACTCAAAAGGAATTTTTTTTTTAAAAGAGCGTGAGGAGAACGGGGAATTTGTTTCCATGTGAATTATTTGAAGTAGGTAGTGATGATGTATTTAAGGAGAGTCTGGATGCTCGAATGAAGTTAAGGTGACAGAAGTAGAGGAGTGGGGTGGAGTATCGGAGGAAGTGAGGAGCGCGGAGGAGGTAACAGGGAGGATAGAGACCCGTTCATAGGCTGAATGACTCATTCCTGCATTGAATATTCGATGGAATCTGCCTTGCTCGGTGTTGGATGCTATTTGTGCTGTTGTCATCATGCGTTTTAACCTGCATGAGGTGAAGGCTGGCTATGGGTATCGTGGTGGCATTGATGGTGGTGAATGTGATGGTGCCATGGTGCTGTTGGTGACCCTGTGCTGATGGCGATGTAGTGGTACTGTCTCCAATGACTAGCTATGGCCATTCAAGGAAAACGAACCCTGCCCAATGCCATCCCCCCTCCCATTTCCTCAGCAGTGGAGCGAGTCGGGGTGTCATCACGGGCGGGCACTTGGCTGTGGGCACAGGCTTTTGAAGACTTGGTCCATTTGTGAATGATTTTCTTGCCCAGGGTGAGGATGCAGGTGTCCAGCATTCTTCCCCACCCTCAACCTTGTAAAATTCAGGTCACTCTGTTTCTCTGTGCATGTCTGTGTGTCTGTGTATGTCTGTGTGTGGGTGTGTGAGTGTGTGTGTGCGTGTGTGAGACTGCATGGGAGTGTGTGGGAGTGTGTGTGTGTGGGAGTGTGTGTGTGGGTGTGTGTGAGTGTGTGGGTGTGTGTGTGTGTGTGTGTGTGAGAGAGAGTGTGTATGAGAGAGAGCATGTGTGTGTGTGTGTGTGTGTGAGAGAGTGTGTATAAGAGAGAGTGTGTGGGTGTGTGTGTGAGAGAGTGTGTGTGTGTGAAAGAGTGTGTATGAGAGAGAGTGTGTGGGTGTGTGTGAGAGAGTGTGTATGAGAGAGAGTGTGTGGGTGTGTGTATGTGAGAGTGTGTATGAGAGAGAGTGTGGG